TGATGTGTGTATGGATTGTGATAAGAGTCGTATGAGCCCCTAATAAAACGATTTAAAAAAAAAAAGAATTGTGCTCCTAGGGTTTTCTTGACTGTGCTCTTTACAGATGTAGGTTACCAGGACTTTCTTCCAAGGTGTCCCTAGTGATGTTCATACCACCAGCTGTTAGGGTAGTAGTCGAGCACAAACCATTTGTTCTGTCCATGGACTCTATTAAAAATTCAATGAAGTCAAAACAAAAAAATTCAATGAAGTCTCAAAATCTGCAACAACTTCCCACCATGCTATCTGCCTTCTCAGGGCTTCCCTTCTGCCAGGGGACGTTGGTTATGTTGTATATGTTTGATATTGCAGGAGGAAGTCACGTTCAAGGACGTGGCCGTGGTCTTCACCGAGGAGGAGCTGGGGCTGCTGGACCCCGCCCAGAGGAAGCTGTACCAGGACGTGATGCTGGAGAACTTCTGGAACCTGCTCTCACTGGGTGAGGATGGCCTACCTGTGTAACTTGGTATCAATGCCCTGCGGTGTTTCGATAGGGCTCCTGAAGGAGTCTGCTGAGCTTGGAGATCCTAGTATCCTAGTTCCCTAGGGCATATAGAGAAGATACTTCCTGGTTGTTCTTGTCTTCAAACTATGAATGGTCAGTGTCCCCTCTCTGTCTGCTCTTTCCTGTACCCAACTCTGTTGTGACCTGTCAGTGGGCATTCCATCAATTTAGTGACTCATTCCCGAATTTATTTAACAGGTTTATTGACCTATAATTCGTGTACCATACAACTCAGCGTTTGAAATATATTTAAAAGAGTTGTGCATTCACCACCACCACAATCAATTTTCGAAATTTTGTTTTTCAGTCTTGTTTCCATTCTTCTTAGACCAGAATTTGTTTTACGAAGAATTAGAATGCACTAGAATGGGATGGAAAGTATCAGAGCTCCTTCACCATGATGATCCACATCAAAGCAAGAATGAGCCAATCATACTGAGTTATATGGGAGAAACACACTTTGATGATGCTTAGTCACCTTTGAGTTGATTCTGACGTGTGGTGAATGTGCATATGAATTTGTGCCCCAAAGTAAGTCAAATAGGATTGCTACAAAATTATAGAAATCATTTAAAATATCCAAAATGTGAAGTTATTGCCCCCACCCCACCCCCCAAAACCCCACCTTTTTATTGGGAATTAATATAGTTATCGTATCATTCTGTAGTTCAATCACATCAAGCAGTATGGTACAATTGCTACCACAATCAGTTTCAAAACATTCTCTTTCTTCTTGAACTCCTTAATATCATTGCCCCTTTAACACCCCCCATACCCTACTATATGCCACCCACCCCCACCCCCACCCCAGCCAAGAAACCCTAATTCTACTTGCTGTCTCTCTAGGGTCATCAATCCTGGGTCTCTAAGTCACTGTCTTTTGACACATGTTCCATTAAGGGCTTTACATTCCTGAAGGCAACATCCATCTCGCAAATCCTTCCCTGAAGAATTCTGTATTCTTTGATTCACACAATGTCAAAATTGTAGTATTGGCATCCCCAAGGAACTCCAAGACTTCCTTGTAAATGTTCTTAGCGCTTGGGGAACAAAAAGAAGTCTGCAGGGCCAAGATAAGGGAGGTAGGCTGGGTGGGGTAAGGTTTCCCAACAAAATTCTCACAGCATGGCCCTGGCTACCCTCAAAGAATGACCAGGTGCATCTTTGTCCTGATTTTGATGATGGTGGTGGTGGGGCATGTAGGGAAACCAGATTCTTCAGTGGAACAGCTTTCCTGGTCTTCTTCCTCACCAATGCAGTTTCCAATTTTCTTAAAACTTCTTCATAATAAGCCCCCTGATGGTCCAGTGTCCTTCAGGAAAATCTATCCCCGAGGGTCCCAAAAAGCAATAGCCAAAATCTCCAGAGCCAACCTCTCTGCCTTGAATTTTAACTGGCCCAGCAGATCCCCTGGGGAGCCACTATTTTGACTGAAGCTCCCCCCTCCCCACACCTCTTGTAGGTATTGCACTACCTTATATATTTTTTTTTCTCCAAATAATTTTTTTAGCTAATCCAAACATCATACCATTCCATAGTTCAGTCACATCCAGCAGTATTGTACAATTGCTCCCAAAGTCAGTTTCAAAACATTTCCTGCTTCCTTGAACTCCTGGATATCAGCTTCCCCGTACCGCCCCCTGCCCCCTGCATCTCACCTTTACACACAGACACACACACACACACACACACACACACACACACACACACACACACACACACACGAACCCTTATTCTAGTTGTTGAGTATGTACATTCACCTGTCCTGGGTTTTATATACCAAAATACGTAGGAAAACACAAACAAAAATTCAAAAGGCTACCAACAATGTCAAAACACAACAGAAGTAAACCCCAATATCAAAAATACCACAACAAAAACCCAGAAAATGTTGAAAACCAGATCAAGCCTAAAGTGTATGGGGGTGGGGAGATATCACGTAACAAGGTTTTAACTGTTCTAGTCAATTATTTTATATATTCTTTGTATGCTAATTAGATATATAATTTTGACCTCTTTGAATGCACTTCACTCATGTTGTCCCTATGTCTTGCTCCAAGTAATGTAAAAAATTTATGTGTGGGTCTTTTTTTTGAGCATTCAGATAGAAACATAAAATATTAAAGATCACTCCTTAAATGAGATACACACAAGAACAAAGATCTTATGAGATAAATCTTTTAATATAGTGAAGCATCTTGATGCTGATTGAAGCTTTTTTTAACATACCCCCATGAGATAAACATAAGTGTATTATAGAGAAAACATGCGTGTACTCATGCACTGCTCACAGAGACAGGTCTTGTGTGGAATAAACATGAGTAGCAGTACTTTTTTACTTACCCTCATATGTATAAGGGATGGAAAAGTAGAATTCAAAGGCAATGGATTTATTTCCCCTCACGAGCTGTTTGAAACCCCTTTGTATACTGTTAACAACATAAAGCACATTTTTTGGTGTGTGATACACTAAAATAAAAATATTGTTTGAAGAACATTCCTCTGAAAAGATGGACGATATTGGAATCAGAACGAACATGTTTAGTAGTTCTCCTATTTACCCTAAACAGCTTTCAGTTTACAGTTGTAACCAAACTAAACTTCATTTTTCACCCACTGCCTTTTCTGTAGCCTTAAACAGCTGAGTTATATACTCTGAATCGTTTAATTGGCTAATTGATAGATCATTGTCATTGGGTCACCTCTTGGTGACCGTGGGTAACAGGGTGGAAGATGCCATCACCAGGATCGCTGGCATGGTTGAGTTTATTGTTTTGGCCACTGTGTTTCCCTCACCCTCATTGGCTCTCAACTTCACCAAATATGATGTTAGCATCCAGTGTATGAACCCTTCTAATGAGGTGACCACAGGAACCCTACTGGGGCAGTGGGTTACTTGCTGGGATGCGAGCCATAAGGATAGCAGTTTGAGACCACCACCTGCTCCTTGGGAGGCAAATGAGGCTTTCGACCCTTGTAAAGATTTGCAGCCTCAGAAACCCGCAGGGGCAGTTCTGCTCTGTCTTGTAGGCCTGCTATAGTTGGAATCGACTGGAGGACAGTGAGCTTGGTGATTTGGGCATGATGTGCCCAAAACAAATGAGCCAAACACGGTTCTTTTGTCATCTATAAAATTTTCATTGGCTTCAGGTTTTTGGAAGTAGATATCTAGATCTTTCTTCCTACTCTGGCTGGAAACCCCACTCAAACCTGTCCACCTTGGGAGAACGATTAATAGTTCAAACATCATAGCAACATATAAGCCACCTTAGTACAACAAACTGATATGTAACAAACTAATCTCAGCTGCCATCAACTTGATGCTGACCCCATAGGACAGGGTAGATAGCCCCTGTAAGTATCCAAGACTGTCACTCTTTATTGGAGTAGAAAGCCCAGTCTTTCCCCCATAAAGCAGCTGGTGGTTTCGAACTTCTGACCTCGTGGATCACAGCCCAAAGTGTAACCACATGGTGGCCCCAAATATACTTCTGACCCGAATTATCCCCTTTAGGGCTCCTGCAGTCCCACAGTAATCTGTTTGTAGACATGCGCCTGGGCATTTTGAGCAAGGATGACATAGCCAATGCACAGATCGTGCCAGGCAGTCCTGCATGTGAAGTATTGAGACAGACAGGGTAATGTTGTGTCCGCTGATCTTTCTACTTGCTGCTCAAAGAGAAGAAGGTGCCTTTGGTTTGCTACAGTTAGATGAAGATCGGAAGGTAAGATGTCCTTTCTATAAAAGATTTATAGGATGTCTTTATTGTTCTGCAGCTAGCTGATTTCTTACACGTTAGGCTTGGTGGGCATACATGGGACTTAGCACGTAGTAAAGAGGAGCCTGGTGACCAACCCTCTGTTTCCTCAGGCAAGTGAAGTCGAGAACGGGGATACTAGATGATGAAGTCAGGGTGGGCTTTTTCTCCTGGTTCATTGAGGCCTCCTGCTGGGGCCAAAGGGTGAACTATGAACCGTCTCATTTATTCTCACCTTTAATTCTCTCTGTCCTTACAGAGGACCAGCATCAAAATAAGAATGAGCTTGAGACTCTGCAAAGATTAAGGTACCATTTATATGAAGAGCTGTCCTGCAGTCATGTCTGGGAACAGGTTGTAGGAGAATTAACGAGAAGACAAGATTCGATACGCCATCTCCAGGGGAAGAGTCCCTGGTTGCGAAAACAACATGACTTTCCCTGCCAGATCTGGTCGGGACTGTCCGTTGAGGTTTCTGAAAAGAACTACCGAGTGAATCTCCAAGGGCGTCATTGCGATAAGATTGAGCATCAGAAGTTTCCAACATGGAGAACCCAAGATTTGGGGAGGAGGCCATATCCGGGCGAGTCACAGAGTCATCAGAGTAGAAGTGAGCCGATGGCAGTGGGAAACAACCTGTGTGATTGTGATCCGTGTGTTGGCAGCTCCAGTTGGATATCCTCAGGCCACCATAAGGATCGTGGAGGCGAGCAGCGAGACAAAGCTGCTGGCCACAGTGGACAAGACTTCATGAAGCGTAATACAACTGACCGAGGAGGGAAACCCTACGTGAGCAGTCACTGTGACCAAGGCTTCTATGATGCCGCTGATCTTGAACTTCATCAGACATCATACATAGCGAGGAAGCCCCAGACATGTAGTGAGTGTGGAAAGGCCTTCGGGGATAGCTCAGCTTTTCCCATTCCTCAGAGTGCTCCCGCAGGAGGGAGGCACTTTACGTGTGATGACTGTGCCACGGGCCTCCGTCAAAGTTCATGTGTTCACACACATCAGAATGCCCACACGGGGGAAACACCCTTCACATCCGAGTGTGACAAGAGCTCCGATCCGCGTTCCCCTCTTCGCACGAATCAGCAACTTCCCACGGAAGAGAAGCCTTTTCAGTGCGACAGTTGTGGGAGGAGCTTTGGTCATCGTTCTGACCTTAACCTCCATCGCCGAACCCACGGCGAAGGGAGACTCTATGAAAGCAGTGAGTGTGGGAGAGGCTTCAGGCTTCAAGCCCATCTTAGCGTTCACACAGGCGAGGGACCATTTAATTGTGAGGATCATAGAAGAGGCTTCAATGAGAGATCCGCACGTCACCACCATCAACCAGCCCACGGAGGGGAGCCCCCTTATCAGTGCGTTACGTGTCTAAAGAGTTTCGGTAGTAAAGCTAGCCTGCATGTCCACCAGCGAGTTCACACCATTGAGAGGCCTTTTAAGTGTGAGGAATGCGGTAAGAGCTTTAATTGGAGCTCCCATCTTTACGTGCACAGGAGGGTCCACACAGGGGAAAAACCCTACAAGTGTGAAGAATGTGGTAAGGGCTTCAGCCAGGCATCACATCTTCAGGCCCATCAGAGAATGCACAGTGGAGAGAAACCATACAAATGTAATATATGTACGAAGGGCTTCAGCCGGAGCTCGTATCTGCGGGTCCATCAGCGAATCCATACTGGAGAGAAACCATTTAAATGCATGGTGTGCGGTAAGGGCTTCCGGCAGCGCTCCTATCTTCACACACATCAAAGGGTTCACATGGTGGAGAAACCCTACAAATGTCATGACTGTGGGAAGGGCTTTTGTCAGAGTTCGTCCCTGTACGCGCATCAGCTGATCCACACAGATAAAATAGCCTGTAGTTGTGAGAGGTACGGGAAGCCCGCTGGGAGTACCTCAGATCATAGTATTTCTTGTAGAGTCCGCACTGGCAAGAAGTCCTTTGCATGTGAACAGTGTGGGAAGCGCTTCAGTTGGAGCTCCCACCTCCAAGCCCATCTAAGGGTCCACACGGAAGAGAAGCCATTTAAGTGTGAGGAATGTGGAAAGGGCTTCAGTGGGAGATCCGCACTTCGTTGCCATCAACAGCTTCACTCGGGAGAGACCCCGTATCAGTGTGATAACTGTCTCAAGGGCTTCAGTAGTAAAGCAAGTCTTCGTATCCACCAGAAAATTCACACCGTTGAGAAACCGTATAAGTGTGAGGAATGTGGCAAGTGCTTTAATTGGAGCTCCCATCTGTACGTGCACAGGAGGGTCCACACAGGCGAAAAACCCTACAAGTGTAAGGAATGTGGTAAGGGCTTCAGTCAGACTTCACATCTTCAAGCCCATCAGAGAATCCATACTGGAGAGAAGCCGTACAAATGTACCGTCTGTGCTAAGGGCTTCAGTCGGAGTTCCTATCTTCTGGTTCATCATCGAATCCATACTGGTGAGAAACCATTTAAATGTATGGTGTGTGGCAAGGGCTACAGTCAACGCCCCTATCTTCACACACATCAGAAAGTTCACATAGTAGAGAAGCCGTCAGATCATAATATCAGATGATAATACACTCGTTGTAAAAAGAAAACCGGTGCATATGAGCAGGGTGTGAGAAACACTTCCAGTCAACCTTGTGTCTCCAAGCTTGTCCGAGAGTCCGTACTGGTGAGGCACCATACAAGTGTGAGGAAGATGGAAAAACGTTCATTGGAAGACCCCCATTGCACAACCGCCATCAAGTTCCTAGAAGAGTCATCTATAGTCATCCATATTATCAAGTTCATAGAAGAGTCATCATAGAAGACTCATACACATCCCACCCCACCCATCAATATGATAAGGATTGTCAGGGTTTTAATAATAAATGAAGCTTCCATGCCTATCAGAGAGTTCACATGGGAAAAAAACCAAATACATTCCCCCCATCTTCAACCTTACCCTAATGAGGAGAAGCTCCACAAATAGGCGTGTGTGATAAAGGCTCTGTAAATAACTGAGCATGTTCCTTTGCTTCAGGCTCTCCACCAAGAGGAGAAACTCTTTAAAATGATGCGTTTTAAGGATTCCACAGGGAGTTGTGTTCCTGAATAATCATCAAAGTCCCAATAGGAGAGCGAGCCCCGTGTGTGGACGTGGTTGGTAAATCTCAGCCAAGGCGGAGACGACCACAGCTCACAAAGAAGCTCCATAGCCTAGAACCTGCTACAAACCTTCGTGTCCATCAGCACACACAACAGAGAGGACATAAAAGTGATAACAAAATGGCCGACTTTAACCAGAATTAAAAGATTGACATGAAAGAAGTCAGCGTCCTCACTCCATAGGGACCAAATTTCTTCAGTGTCTGCTGTTGGTTGCTGTTCAGGGGAGTTGAGTGCGGACCATGGGGGTCAATCGGGTGGACTCCGTAACCCATGAATGTGCCTCTGGGTGGGTTTGAACTGCCAACCTTTTGGTTAGTAGGCAAGCAATGAACCTTTTATGTAACCCAGTAATGGGACATTGTGGAGAAATGAGCTTCTTTATGTGGCATTTTGACTTGGGTCTTTGGCAAAACACATTGAGAGATTCACCACCCACCCACCCCTCCCACCCCCCCATCCTGAAGCATCAGCTTCGCCCTAATTTTTTACCCCAGAAACAATTTGTGGCTGGATATACTTTTTGTCTGGCTCTGGGCTGTGTAGCCTGCCTTGTGAGGGGTGTGTACCTTTCAGGGACTGGTCAATAGTCTATGCATATGAAGTTACTGTAGCTTACTATGCAAATGAAGTGTCTGTTGCCTTGAGGAAAAGGGATTGATCAGTTTGTGGCCCTCGGGTGGGAGGGGCATGCCTTAAAATTGATAAACAGTTTTGTGCACCTCGGGTGTGGGGGGGGGGGACCTTCAAAAAGTTTGTGGGAAAATGGAATTAAAAGTTAATGGGATGTTCCCACACATTTTCTGAAGCTCCCTAGCTTCAGAATAGCCCACCCCCCAGAGGTCTTTGAGACAGGAGGCAGACAGAAGCAAAAGGAAGAAAGGAGAGAGGAAGCAGAGATAGAAGAGGCAAGGGGCATCCTAAAAATACCTGTAACATGGATCAAGGACTGTAACACTGAAGGCAGCAAGAGGCCTGGGGCAGAGGTGGTGGCAGGGAGGCCAAAGGCAGAAGAACCTGTCCTCAGAAGGCTGAGAAAAGGTGTGTGGTGAGGAGGCCTTTTGTGAGATGGGCAAGAGAGGGCATGCGCAACAAAGGATGTGTATGGCAGAGAGAAGACCCTACTTGCCTGGGTGGCCAAGAGCAGCTGAGAGATGTGTCCTGCCCTGAAGAAATGAGGCCCATGTTCTACACTTGGGGTGGTGGGGAGCCCTTCCAACTTTGCCTACATGCTTCCTGATCCGAAGTTGTAGCCTGCTGATCCTGATCCCAAGTTGTACCTTGTGTTCCTTAATAAACCACTTAATTTAAACCGCATAAGTGTAGTCTGTGTGAGTTCTGTGAGACCGTAGCAATGGATATAGTCTGTCCCACTCTAAGTAGGGCCCATTCCCTTCTGATAAGGACAGTAGATTGTTTCCCTGAGGAAGAGCCCAGGGAGGTCAAGCCTACTCAAGGGTGATCAAGGTTAGGCTGCTATATTGAGTCTAGGGTCCTCCCTTCTTGTCCCATGTATACCCCTAGTCCCTCCCCTTCCTATTACATGTACACCCCTAACTCACCCCCTTCCTGTCAGCTTATGCCTATTGTACAGGCCCTTCCTATGACAGGCGTGGTTACCTGTAATCATGCGCCTAAGTATATATGGTCCTTGGCCAGAAAGAAAGAAGAGGCCCTCCTGCCCTCTCAGCCCTCGCTGTGCCGGACCTGGCTGGTGAGATCACGGCCATCCAGGAGGTGAGCATGCTACCATGAAATGCGTCTGACTTCTTCATTTCACTCTCTCCTATCTCTATTATTCTCTATGACTTTACTATAATCTTTATATATATTTTTTCTAATCATTTTATTAGGGGCTCATACAACTCTTATCACAATCCATACATACATCAATTGTGTAAAGTGCCTTTGTACAATCTTTATATATTTTAACCGTACAATTGCACCTAGAGGACCCATCATATAGTTGTGAGGGGCTGGCTTCCCGCACAGGTTAGAAATGAATATATGGTCAGATATAAATATGCAAAGATATTTAAATCTATGCAATGTGTGTGAAGGGCTCTTCACTAATCGGCTAATAGTTGGTTTTGTCTGACAAGGGAGGATTTGGGATGACTTAAAAAAAAATTTTTTATTGGTGTCTCTTACAGCTCTTATAGCATTCCATACAATTGTATCAAGCATATTTGTACATAGGTTGCCATTATCATTTCCAAAACATTTTCTACTTAAGCCCTTGGTATAAGGTCCTCTTTTCCCCCTCCCTCCACCACCCTCCCAACTTTATTAATTAATCCTTGATTAATTATATATTGTTATTGTCATTTAGTATCTTACACTGTCCTTTTTCTCCCTTCATCCACATTTTTGTTATTCATCCCCTTCATGGGGGGGGGGGCTATATCTCCAATCTTGTGATGGGTTCCCCCTTTCTCTCCCTTCCCCCTCCCTGGCCATCCCCCTGCCCTCATAATAACGCTACTCCCATTACTGTTCCTGTTTATCTTTCCTCAATTCCATGTGTCAAGAGCTGTTATCTGCACCAATGTGTGTGTTCTTTGATTTAACCAGATTTATAAGAACTGGGTCATGGTAGTGGGAGGGGGGGGAGTATTTAGGAACTCGAGGAATGATGTGTGACTTGTCGGTGCTGTACCTCACATTGGTTGAATCATCCCTTCCTTATACCACTTCTGTGGGGTGGTATCCAATTATCTACAGATGGGCTTTGGGTCTCCACTCCAACCCCTCTCTTTCGCATTGAGTATTTTTTTCTTTATGATTATCGTTATTATTTGCCATGAATGCTATCAAATTCACCAAAAACAATTGTTAGGTGCTATGAGTCAGCTCTGCTGAATTTCCATCTTATGTATAACAGAACAAGAAATTTCCCAGGTCTGCACCATCCTCGCTGTGAGTGTAGTACTGTGGTTGGGCCCACGGTTGCAGCCACGTGTCAATCCATCACCTTGAGGTCACTGTATTTATGGCTGGTCCTCTACCAAACATGATGACCTTTTCCACAGATGGGCCCCGCCTGAGGACGTGCCCAAAATGAGACCAGGTCTCAGCTACGTGAATCAAATGAAGAAAAATGTAATGAAGTCAATGAAAAATCTCTTATAGTTATTCAAACTCACTGCCATGGAATCAACGACGCTGATTCACAGCAACCGTATGGAACAGAGAAGAAGGGCCTGTGTGGTTTTCTGGGACGGTAAATCTTTCCAGGAGTACATAGCCTTCTCTTTCTCCTGTGGAGCGCATGATGGTGACCTTCAAAGTGCTGACCTTGGGGTTAGCAGCCCACGCACCCACTACACAGTAGTACCCAAGGCACTACTCTTAACATTAGGGTCTCTTAAAACATTTATCTCCAATAATGCAAAAAATAATAAGATGCCACTATTCAGCAAACCACCCAATGTCTTGCCCTATTTCCATCTTTCGCTGTCTTTTCTTTCCCCATAAACCTTCTTGAGGAGCTTTTAGGCTGCTCACTGCAAGCTCTGCAGTTGGAAACCACCAGCCACTCTGTGGGAGAAAGATGGAGTTTTCTACTCCCATTAAGAGTTACAGTCTCGACTTCCAGGAAGATGGCGCTGAGTTAGCCTCCCTTCCCCTCTTCCCTCTCCCGACTCTCCAAACAAGATGTTGACTCTTCCAAGATGTCTCCAAATTCCACCAGCCCAATGAGCAAGAAATGTACCCTAGCTTGTAAGACCCTGAATTACTACCTGCAGCTGTGCTGCTCCCCCAATCCCATCACCCCACCAACCTGGTGAGAATGTGGCCGCTAGCTGATGATCCAGAGCAGGCTGGAGACCCATGAGAGGCCAGAGATCGGGAGCAGAGCTCTTGTCTTCCCTTGGCTGTGGATACGGAGCTAAGTCAGTTTCTGAGGATCCTCAGCCGAGAGCAGCAAAGTGGTCAAACTGCCCAACCTCACATCCCCTTCCAACCCCAAACATCAGAAATACAGCCAGTGTGACCCTGAACAACAAAATAATCATGAACAAATTGTTTATAATTTTTCCGTACTGGTCCTCAAAACAACCAATGAAATACCTACACAGGGTGATTAGGCTGCCATCCTGAATCTAGGATCCACCCATCTTGTCACATGTATACTCCCAATCCCTCCTCTTCCTATTGCATGGATACCCCTAGATCACCCCCCTCCCATTACTGTAGTACCTATAGCACAACTCTTTCCTGTGACGTATGTCTTCACCTGTAATTAGGAGGCTTACATGTCCCCAGAGAATATAAAAGCCTTGGTTATCAATAAATATATCTCTCTCTCTCCATATGGACCACCAAGTGAGGCTGAGGTGAGCATGCTACTATGAAATGTGTCTGACTCCATTATTTCAATCTCTCTTCTATCTCTCATGCTCTCTATGACTTTACTGTAATCTTCACTTATTATCGTTGTACAATTGCCCGTGATGATGTGTTAGGGTGAGTACCCTGACAGATTGACACAAGGCGGGGAGAATCCATTTGCACATTAAGTCCAACGCTGATTCCCATAAAGTAGAGGTCAGACATGCCTCCACATTCTATACTCCATTTTACCATGTTGTGACATAAGCCTTGCCTCCCAGGGCACTCTACTTCTGTTCTAGGTTCAGTAGTCCATTGTGTGAGTCTGGGTAGACTAGAGAAACCCATCCACAGACACTCATATGTGGATAAGAAAGAGCTTTATATCTACCACAAGAGCAGTTGAATATTGAGAAAACATTCCAGCCTGGTCCAGATCAAGTCCATAAGTTCAATATTAGCCCATATGTCCGATACCAATCTATAAAGTCCTCTTCAGACTCATGAAACACATGCAATGATGCCGAATGCAGGAAGATCACAGGCCAGTGGGTGGGAAATCTTGTGGATCCAGTGGCGATGTAATCATCTCATCACTGGCAGGGGTCTCCATGTGGCTCCTCTGGCTCCAGATGTCTGGCTCCATCAGCCTCTCTCCATGTGTCTTCTCCACAGGGATGTCTCACAGGGAGTGAGGAGAGAGAGAGAGAGAGAGAGAGAGAGAGAGAGAGAGAGAGAGACTGTATGTATCTCCCACTTTCAAAGAGGAAATACTGGAGTTCTCAGAATCCTCAGGAGAAGGCCATGCCCACACAGAGGCCTCATTGGCTATATTCTGATTGACAGGCTAGACTCCACCCCACACTCTTCATCCTCAAATTGACACCTGATTATGTGAGTACCACATCCATTGTGTTGCCACACAGAACTCACAATGCCCTATGGTGCCCTATGCTGCATGTTTTCTTTCTGCAGCTCAGGCCTCTGTTACCACCATCTCTATACAGGGATCTTGCCCAGAGGCTACAACACACTGCAGAGGCCCCAGATGCTGCAGTCAGAGTAGTGGGCTCCCCAGCCCATAGAAGAGTAAAGCTGAGTGCTTTAGGGCAGGAGGAAGATAAGCAGAGTAGGGCACCCTAGAACATTTATCAGCATTAAAAAACCAATTGTCTGAGTAGGGCAGAGTCAAGGGACCATGTGACCGAGAGACTGAGGACCAGAGAGCTACAGCTGCTAGCATGGCTGAGAAGAGGCACCGCTGCAGACAAAAGGACTGTATCCTTCATGTTTTTTGATCTTGACTTGTGACATGTTAACTTCCCAATAACCGCCCACAATTGTGAGTATTGTCTGTGAGTTCTATGTGCATTTTTTTCTCCTATAAGCCCATATTAACAATGATGAAGATTTCTGGAGCTTTTCAACTGTGCTGAGTTGACCACTATCCTGAGGGAGGCAACTAAACCGTAGACCACAAAGAACCTTTCTAGAAAATTCCTGTGTGTTTATAAAACTTACAATTGTTCTACCTGATACACATGTGGCACAGAGTTATAGCCAGGACTGTGGAACGTTTCATGAAACGTCAACACAAGTGAAGTACATTAATTAGGGCAAATTATAATTTTTATGTATTTTGTTTTTCTTTTTTTTTTTAAAAATGTATTCTATTTTTCATATTTGTCTTTTACCTGTGATTCTCTGTTCCAGTAGTTCTTCTTGAAGGTTGTGAGATTCTCTTTGTGCTTCTGAAATGGCTCACTGTATGCCAAGTGGAATGGCAAAACTGACCGACCCTAAGTTAGAATCCTCTACACCTTATCTACACACTTCCCCCGTGACTGGGTGGGACAAAGACTATGGCTAGAAGATGCCCACCAAACAATCTCGCTTCACTGCAGCTACCCTACACTCAAGAGCAATTTTCTGTCTCTTCTGACATGCACGTTGGTCTTTTCTTTCCTGTCTTTCTTTTTAATCATTTTATTAGGGGCTCATACAACTCTTATCACAATCCATACATACATCAATTGTGTAAA